TGTGTCATCGCTTGCCATGGCTTCTAATCTTGTCTTCCATTCTAGAACCAAAGATTTGGAGGTTGATTATCACTGTGTTCATGAAAAAGTCACTCGTGGTGAACTGCTTGTTCATTGTGTTTGTTCTCAAGATCAGATTGCTGATATGTTTACCAAAGGGTTGTTCACGATGCGTTTTAATTACTTGGTCTCCAAGCTTCCAGTTCTTCAACGGCCTGTTAGCTTGCAGGGGATGTTAGACAGATGTTCTATGAGCATTCAAATTCCAAATGTTTACTTGATGTGGATAAGAAGTCCTAGTCCATTGGGACTTCTTTGAATTGTGTTGAGATAGGTAGTCTTTTGATTTTCAAATGTATAGATTGGTTTCCTTGTAAATAAGGATTTGATGTAATATATGTATTAGTTTTAGTTGAACTTATCAATATAAATATGGCTACTTCATCGTGTTAGATGGTATGCAAAGCTCACCAACATTTTCTTGAGCATCTATTGTTTTATAGGTTCTTGGGTCTGAGAGAGAGGGAGAGAAAAATATCCTATTTGTTAAAAAAAATTTAAAATAAAATTTTCACACATGGCACTTTCGTGGCATAAAGTTCAGCAAACTAGTGAGACCTATTCATTCCACGTCAACAGTTTTAATAGAGTTATAGTGGGGGGGGCAAAGTGAACCACCAAAACATAGTAAGGGGACACTTTGAGACACTTAACTTTTATAGGGTAAAGTGCGATTTGACCATAATTTTAGGGACACTACAGTAAATAAACCTTTAAAAAATTCAATATTTTTCTTCAATGTACTTCCTTATTCTACCCATATTTTTAACTTTAATTTTTTCTAGAAACATTTCCGTCCCCATAAAATACAAAAATGACTAAAAACAAAAAACAAAAAAAATAATCAAAGCATAAAGCCTATAAAAGGAATGACAATAAGGAGAGAGGTGGCTTGGTCTGAAAGAGAGGCAAGTGAGTGGGGGCCCACCATAAAATGATCAAATAGGAACACTTGAATGAAAACAAAGGTTGGTCTGTGGACCAGCTGTTCAATGCTTAATCCTCCAAATTAGACTTGCAATCAGCAAAAAGTAGGTTGAGTTTCAGTTTAACCAACTCTAACACCCACTCCATCATATTCATAATCATTCTTTTCGTATAAATTTCTCCCCACGTACCAAACTAGAACAACAGTATTGGATCAAACATTTCCACATTTGAATCATTCTTGCTTAACTTGTTCCTAAAGCCATCCCCGATTTCGAACTAATATAATACACCACATTGTGTTTCCATGGCTTCTAAGTCCAACAAAACAAGGGTTAGGCTTTGTAGTTTTGTCTACGAAGGCATGAAGGATCGCATGGAAAGATTTGCTGTTCTTCCTTTTGGCATTGGCTGCACTTCTCAGTCCAGCGTTGCCATTGGCACAAATGATGATCAAACAAGAAAATCAAAAGCAGAAACACAAAACCCACCTCCTCATGTAACAAGTATGTTCTCTCTCTCTCTCTCTCTCTCTCTCTCTCTCTCTCTCTCTCTCTCTCTCAAGTTGATATTGGTGTTAATTTGAGACTATATGGTGTTTTGATAAGGAAGACGATGGAAAAGCACAAGGAGCAAAAGTGAAGAACACTTATCGATTTCTGAACCTTAGGAAGAGTCACATTTCCAGTGGATTTGAAAGATTGATCAGAAGCATCAAAAGTTTGTCTCAAATATTTGGTAAGCCGATGATTAATTGAATGCCTAATTATAGATATATATGTGCATGCTCAAATAGTGTCTACTTATTCAAAATGCATGTTTAATCAAAAGGCCAAACATGTTTTATTACTTTTTCCTTAGATGATTCGTAAAAAGAAAGGCTTTAGAGTTAATGAAACATTCCGTAATCACATTATGGAGTGCATTGCAAGTTCAAAAAATGTTGCTTTGTCCATCAGTTTCTTAAAAAGTGGATGTTGACTTTAAAGTGCTCACATATATATATGGTACTGGAATACGATAACGTGGTATAATTCGCTCACGTCTTATAATATGGGTGTACAATATAGTTATCCACTTATATTATAATATGTGGATGAGTTATACCACATGATTGTACTCAAATACACCACACATATACATTCACCCGTTTTAAATCCTTAACTAAACCATGAGATAGTCCAGCCATTAGCTGTACGTACCAACTAATTTTAAAAAACAAAAACAGAAATTAGGTGTACCAAGAAACTTTTTTGTTTTAGTCTCATCCTAAGAAATTTATGCAATGAAGAATATCCATATGAAAAATATATTATAACATATGTTATTTTATTTCTAATTAGTTGTTTAATATCTATATTATATATACATATATGGTTGTTCAGTTTACAAGGAAGATATTGAGGAAGAAGAGGAGAGAGAGATGGAAATTGGGTTGCCTACAGATGTGAAGCACGTGACACACATAGGATTGGATGGGTCAACAACTACCAATACAAACGGACCCATAAAAGGCAGCTGGGAAAACTTCAACAATGCTCCCGAGATACTCTCTT